CTGAAACAGTTCCACATTACAGCATGAACAAGTGTGGATTTTATCAAAGCGCGTAACTAAGCGATGAGATACACCTAAACACAGAGTCACGAACCGAAAGGATGAGGAAACCAAGGCTGGAATGTGCCAGGTGGACGGCGTGATCATATGTTTTTGCACTATTTCGTGCTGTAGCAAGATCGCAAGGAATCCCAGTAGCAAGAATTTCCGACATATTGGCCCTCGAAATTCGGGAAGTTAACTGTGTGTAGCTATGCGGTGTGCTAGTTGTCGATGTCGGCTTCAGTGACCCGAGAAAGGGAAAATCGCTGGTGCACGAAAAAGACCCTATGAAAAGAGCTGAATATGAAATCTTTTAGTCACACATGAGTATGGGACATTTCCTTAAAATTCCAGCTTTTCTCTTCCCCGAGTTAGCAATTTTCTGGCCAAAATTTTCACAAGCCCGTACTTGAGGTCCGGATAGTTCTAAGGAGCAATATTTGAAAACTTTTAGTGCGTACATGAGTGGGGAATATTCCCCTAAATTTTCAGGTTTCCAGCTTTTCTCGATCCTGACTTAGCAACTTTCTCAGCGGGATTTTCACATGCTTGCATGCGAGTCCCGAGCGATTCTAAAGAGCTGAATTTGAAACTCTCATAGGCAGGGAACATTCCCCTAAAGTTTTAGCTTTCTAGCTATTCTCGTTCCCATGTTAGCAATTTTCCCGCCAAAACCTTCATGTGCTCGTACGTGAGACGCAGACGCGTGCGGCGGTTGATGTCATGTCCCTGGGGTCGCACTTGGCTGGGAAACACTGGCAAAATTTCAGCACCAAAGTTTGCGTGGTTGGCTGTTAGAAATAGTCCGTACATACACACACAAAACACACAGACACAAAACACACACACACACACACCACACACAAGGTCGTTGCACTATGCGCTTTTGCTTCCTGTTGCAGAGCTGTAGCGCTGCACAGCAAAAACGCGTAAAAAGCCGTTGCTTGCGCGAGCATAGTTCACATGACGTAGCTTATCGCAGCAGGAAGCCATAACTTTTGTAAGGGCAGTGTACTTTTAAAAAACATCGATGAAATATCTTGGTAATTGCTAAAATTCAGAACCGGCTCGGCGAAACAATATGCCCTGATTTTTGGGCTATTCGATCAAGTTCGAGGAGCAGAAATCGTGATACTGGGTTTTTTGTCCTGGTGGGATTCTAGGTGTCGCGTTCAATGTTGCTGACTTCCATCCAGCACTGAGCATAAAAACCTGTACAGGCCCTTTCCCTCATAGACCCCGCGCTTGTTTCTAATTCCTACCTCCAAACAGGGTTTCAGCTTTTTTCCAGAAAATAGTACCGCTCCTCCCTTTCGTTACGACTTTCGAGACCTAAACCACTGCGAACTGTCTAAAACTGATGAGCATAGCAAATTAGTGAGACGTACCCGTGAGAAAGCAAATAAATAGCGTCGCGCACCAAGGAAGCCGGTGCGATCATGCGTCTTGTGCAGTTCCGTTCACCGAAAGATTACCTACTAATGATTTTCATTGCTTTGCACTTTGGTCTGTGCAAAAATAGTTAAAATGTCTGGTTCTTAAGTTGCAGAATTTTCTACTAAAAATTTCACGCAAACAAGATAATTTCTTTATCAAAACTTTTACGGCGCTGTACGTGGTACCCAGGGGTGCGTGAAAGCTGAGTCCAAATTTGCGAGTTCGTACGTTTGTAGAGGGGATCACCCCAAAATTTCAGATTCTCAACTTCCACGGTCCCGAGATAATAATTTTCCCCGCCGAAACTTTCACGGGGCCGTAAGTGATAATCCGACGCGCGGGAAGCTAAGTTTAAAATTGCAGGATTATATGTGGATAGAAGACATTACCATAAAATTTAGCTTTCTGGCTTTTGTGGTCTCCGAGATAATAATTTACCTGCCAAAACCTTCACTGGACCGTCGGTGATACCAGGAAGTGCGCGAACGCTGAATTTGAAAGGCAAGGTTAAGCATGGGTAGGGGGTTATATACTGAAATTTCAGCTTTGTATATTCAGTGGTTCTCGAGATAATAATTTATCCGCCAAAACTTTCAAGAGATCGTAGGTAATACCCGAAAGTGCGGGAACGCTGAATTTGAATGGGCAAGGTCGAGCGTGGGCAGGGGGTCATTACACTAAAATTTAAGCTTCTATATTCAGTGAATCAAAAATTTCCACGGGGTCGTACATGCTACCCACGGGCAGGGGAAAGCTGAATTTAAATTTTCTGGGTAGCACGTGGGCAGAGAACATGCCCAAAAAAAATTCAGTCTTCTATCTTCCGTAGTTCCTGTGATAATAACTTTACATGCCCAAACTCTTACGGGGCGGTACCTGTTACCCGCGGATACGGGAAGGCTGAT